TGGCTCGGAAAGAGCTGCGGCCCTGATTTTAGTCGGCTACTGGTCTCTCATAATGTGTGCCTGCAACCTGCTTAAAGAGTTAATACATTGTGGTCTTCGCTTCCAGTGGGATGTTGGAGCGGTTCTTCGATTACTTCAAGGGATGACTCTAAAAGTGATATTTGTGACATTTGATAGCCTGCAAGAAAACAGAACATTAAGGTGATAAAATATATGAACAGATCAAAACGCAAACATTCTTTCTAACAAAATGACTAACACTCATTAGACTTTACATTATTGATCACTTGTTAGCCCTGTCACTAATATTTTGAGTATAAAAACTAAATGTATAATCGCAATTGAGATCGAATTTTTTTTATAAATCTCGAACTTTTGTCTCATGAATAACGCCAGCTAAACACCGACTAAAGAAAAAACCCAACCCCAACCCCCCCCAAAAAAAACAACAACCGCCAAACAAACAACCAAATTGTACTTTGCATCATTGCAATTGAAACTAATTTTCATTATATTCTTGGAAGTGCCCGAAGAATTCAGATTGGATACAAATAATCTTTCATGTTGGTCAAATTTGCGGATAAAAATACCAGAAGCTGACCTTTTCTAGTGAAGAGTTTAAAAAAAAAGTATAACATGCATTACTAAAAATCGGTACAAGTAAACTACAGGGTGGTCCCCCAAAAACCCAACAAACTTTGCTGGGTTTTTTCCCTCGATCGTCTTGAAAAGCGTTAGCATTCGCCTATGACAATTGATTCCTTAGCAAAGCTAATATTCACATTTCAAGATAATATGTTGATAAATTCCACAAGTTCCTATTTGGATCATCCTCTTTACTTAACACATTAGGGAAAAAGAAGCGCACAAATGTAATTAAAACAATTCTAGAAAAATCTAGTATTTATACGATCCTGAATTCGAATGTAGAAAGCAATTGACAGGTTCATTTTCTCTTTTACACTAGGTTTATTTGCCCTGATTCTTTACAATGAACGCAGCAAAGCCCCTTTCACTTAGAATACCGACAGACTAAGTGCTATCGAGTAAGTTAAACTAAAATGACACTAGACCATTGCCTTACTTAATGATGATGTCTACAACGTTGACATTAAGTATGTTGTTGTTGTTGTTGTTGCTATTACTACTACTGCTGCTGCTACTCCTTCTCCTCCTCCTCCTCCTCCTCCTCCTCCTCTTCCTCCTCCTGCTGCTGCTGCTACTGCTGCTGCCGATGGTGATGGTAATGAGGATAATGATGGTGGTGATGATGATGGTGATGATGATAATGATGATGGTAGTGGAGCTTTTTTTATCTAAACTTTGAACCGTGTGAGCAATACAATATTTTTCTTTATGTTTACTTATCGCAAGTCACTCAAAATGACTTTTCCTAATTACCGTGCTTTTTATATAAAGTTGGGGTGATGGTTGTGGTTGTGGATTGGTACAAGTGAAACTGTTCATGTTTTGTTCTTGTTTCTCATTTGCACGAAGCAGGGTTTCAAAAACTTTAACTTAGGAGACTGTAAGCTAATTAGTTATTGTCGACAGTTGGAAATACCATTCAACAGGCCGACAGTCCACCAAAGCAGAAACTACCAGTAGATGAAAAAAAAAATGTTTTTTTTTTTTTTTGGGGGGGGGGGGATGCTTTTCGGTCTGTTCTTTTCCGGTTTGCGTGAATAGGCCAAAGATTCAATCATCCGGTGCCTTGCCGGCTGGCGTGGGCGATGATGGACCTCCACTCTGTCTAGCGCTGCAGCAATGGTGTCTGTTGTTCTTGCTGCTTCTAGCCATGTTGTCATCTTGTCCAGTATCTTTTCCCTCTCTGCCTCTCTTTCCATCAAACTTGCCTGTTGTTACAATGTTCTCTAATGCTTCTTTCCGCATTGTGTGTCCGACGAAATTTGCCTGTCGTTTTCTTATATTTGAGATAAGTTATCTTCTATAATTTGCTTCAACCAGGACTTCTTCATTTGTTGCTGTTTTTTCTAGCTGTCCAAAGATTAAGGAAAGCAAAAGTGGGAATATCACATTTTAATAATGAATCATAAAAAACCTATGAAATAGAACAATTGTTGATGCATTTAAATTGATGGGATAGGCGTAGACTTTGCTAAGCTTTAATGTGCTGATTACCATGAGTATTACTTTCGATTTTCCATAAGAACCTAGCTCTAGCTGTGCTGTGACTGATGGGTCACAAAACCACCTGACAAAACTACCACCTGCGACATTCCAAATTACGCCTCTTTTGTTGGGAGGAGTCGTGTCTATGCTGAAGACAAATTTCCTATAACCCCGATGTACTCGTCAAAGATTTACTACTTAATTTATTATCTTGATTTCACCTCAAGGACAGAGTTGGTAATAAATGAAAGGACCTTCCGTTGACGAAACATTAAAGTTTTATCATCGCTCCGACCCCTGCTTTGTTTCAATCTATGTAATTACTGTTCAGTAGAACTGCACAGAGGGAGATTTACCCTTATAGCACAAAGTTCAATTTGATTACCATCTCGGGGATCATACAACTAAACAAAATAAATCAACGTAAAATCTCGATTTGTTTTACAGTTTTGTGAATAAAAAACAAAACAACTGCTAGGGTTATCGTGTAGGTTGCTCCTGCAGTGTGTTTACATAACAAAAACCCACTGGATTTTGTGAAGCTCATCGGAGCCTTACATACATTGCTATGGGCGAATAGTTGTCTTTTCTATTTGGTATTCATCAACTCTTTAATTACGTAGCGAACATATTAATGTCTATGAGCAGCAAATCAAAGTTATTGTTAAGATGGTTCCCCCAAAATCACACACAAATCACGCGCGCTCATATGACCTTCTTATACAGTTGCGAGCGCCGGTGCTTTCGGAGATAGACGTTAAACGTGGAAGTCCAGTCTCTTTAAAAAATTAATAGTGTTGATAAGGGCGTTGAACCTGTATCATTTCACCACATCAATGCGAATTCCTGTCCTCAATGAGTTCAACACTCCTCCTCTACCTTTTAGTGTCCATGTACCAGTGAACAGTTTGATACAGGGATCTACTCTCTGCTCTCAGCGTGGTGTCAGTTAATGACAAGAGAGGTGGTGTTAGTTTGGTTTGAAAGAGTTTTTACGGCACTCATATACGACCCTATGTAGTTGTGTACGCCGTTTAACTTTTTTAAAAGCTAAACCTACAACCAACGAGTCACTAGAGTGCCAAAGACTGGAGTTATAAGAGGGTAACAAAAATAAAATTTTAATGGAAATGAATAGACGGCCACATATAAAAAAAATAGTAATAGAAGAAGCAAACCACACTAAAGCGCCAATCAACCGGTCGTTATGTTGTTGACAACACAGCCTTCATGAAATATAATATGTGTTTTATTATTTGGAGGGGACAGGGTGCAACATTTTAAGCTCGTGCACTTCCGTCTGTTCGATTTAAACATTCTAGCTCATTTATCAATTAATAACATAGGAGTAAAACGTGACAGCGCAAAGTCGAGCTAGAACCATACCCAGTGTCTTTTAGCATGAAACCAACCGAGGCAGCAGAGTCTGTAGAATCAATACAGGGGCTTAGATCTAGTTCTTAAATTCGATTTAGATTTAATGATGATCATTTCTATATCCGTTCTCCATTGGAATTTAGTACTGCGTGTTTGATTCTTCGCTGGTGACAAGGTGAGAACTAAAAGAGATTGGATGTAGATTAAAATTTTCTGAGCGATTGGTGATGAAACGAGCTCGCAAACGGGGCGTTCTTGATTTGTGAGGCAGCGTGGTGGAATCAGGCTCTCGTCAATTTTGGGGCAGGTAGAGTTATTGGTATCATCTTAAAGCTAGTTCACTTGTCTTTATTTGAATGAAAAAAAATATCCATTTATCTTGAATACAAGTCTAGATATTTGCGAATGAAGGAGGTGGAGGTCACCTGTTTTCAGAGGTAAAATTAGTGAGAAAATGGCCGCCAAAGATTAGTTACTTCCTTAGCTTAAGAGTCCGTGGCAACTGAAAATTTACATTTATTGTACCTTTAATTTATGTCTTAAAGAAAAATCCACCTTGAAATTAGTTCTTTAGTGGGCATGAAAGGTGTTGAGCAAAAAAACAAAAATTCGATAAAAATTCACAAACCTACTGAAAAATGCAAGTTTCTCCACTTTGATTATTTTGACGAGAGCCTGATTCCACAACGCTGTCTCATATTTGTGATTTCTGTAGTGTTTTCGTGGCTCTACGCCTTCAAGGCAGTTCTCTATCGGATATGGATGGTACATTCAAAAGTCCTACTTTTAAACTGCCTTACCTGATTGATAAAATAGTCACACCTTACACTTATACCTTAACATCATGACGTAAAATTTTAATCTTTTGTTGAAACCCACGAGGTACACTGTTTTGTTTTGAAATCTGTATCATAATTTATTATTTATTATTTTTTTTAGAAAAATGATATTAGTTGAATTTTAGGAGATTTTACACGCCCATAATCGATTGAAAAGCAGATTTCGGCTGTGCTTGTTACAACGAACATGGGCTGATAGGGATACAACACAGTTTCACTCCTGAATTGAGCTCGAGACTCTTGTGGGCGAAGGTAAAATGCCTAACCGCTGCAACATGACGCTGGTATGATATACATGCATAATCTTGTATTTCCAAGCTATCTTTTAGATGCTTATATAAATGAGAGAAAGTCTTTACCGACCGAAGATTCCCGCCCGTAAAAAACAAATAAACCGACACTAGATGACAGAAGGGTTGAATCAGAATAAAGTATTATTCTTTTCAGATTATTGAGTAAACAAAGCCCCTTCTTTTTCAACATTCCGGAAAAGCACACCATGTGTCAGGCTAGATTTAGTTAAGACAGACAGTGAATTTATGATAGTTAATTCATGCAAAACCACAGCGTAACCGCTCTGTTTTTTGCATCTTTTAAAATTTCGTTTTTCTATTTCAGTTGTGACGTGGGGTACCAAGTAGAAAACTGACCATGAATTCTCACAGTGGCATGATGGGCCCAGGGAGTGTCCACGGGAGCAGTGGACACACCGGTCATAGTGGAGACCACAGCGAACATAACATAGACGCCTTACACATTGTGGCTATGGTGTTCGCTCCTTTGATCGTTATAGAGAATGTGATCACATTCCTGGCAGTTACGCGAGTGCGGAACATGTACCTAACCCTCAAGGTAGGTTCAGTTATTTTTTAAACTGCTGAAAGCAGGCCAAAACAGAAGTCTAGAGAAATAAGGGAAGGCCCTCTTCATCATACACTAGAAATTCTGACAGTGGTCTACAACCTGTAGTGATTTGTTTTCAATAGAAGCCTTGGACTTCATGTCATCGCGCAGATTACAGAAACCGTTAGAAAAGAGAGTGAGCTAATGATTCAATACTTAAAGTCATGCTTTTGTTATGTTAACTATGGCAAGTATTTAGTTCTTTTTTGATGTTTTTAAAGTTTGAATAAGAACTTTACGATACTTGTATAATAAATAGGCCATATACGTGCCAACGATTTTAATAATGTGTTACAAGATTGTAGCAAAATACACAGAAAAAAGGAGGAGAAAATATAAATCCTACAAGGGCAGTGCTACTGACTAAAGTCGTTTTTAGGCGATTCCCAAAGGGGGGATATTAATGTATTCTTAAGCTCAGTAAACTTAAATGAGCTGATTTATCAATGTCATGCTCATGCTGTGCCTGAATAACATAGGGGGAACTAGTGCGTTTTCTTTCCTCCTTCTGATTATCGCTATTTTCCTCTACTCTTTTGTGTTTGTCACTCTCTTGTGAACTGCTATTTGCGGGGCGCCTTGATAGTCGAAGCTGACTTTGTGCTGTTGAGGCGAGAGGACTGAGCAGAGTAAACCTGATTCCCCGTTTGGACTTCTCTGTTGACATCCACCCCTTGACGCTCATATGGCCTGAAACAGTTGCAAGCGCCGTGAAACCTTACTAAAAGAAAGGAGAAAACATGCAGGCATTTCATGTTTGACAGCAAGGAATGAGTAAAGCCCATCAAGACGTTTGCCAACCACTGTAAATGACAAGCGAAAAGTTCATAAAAAAGATAGTACGTTAAAACAATTAATAGCATAAAAAAAATCCCATTCCACCTTAGAGTGCAGAGCATTGAATGTAGCCTGTCAACACGTTACATCACATATATAATTAATTTCCTATTTATACACTTTATGTTCATGAACGAGCAGCTTTAAGCCTTTGTAAAGAAGTGTTACAAACTAATGGGTGTGTGCTTAACTATTCTGTTCTCCTTTGAGGACGAAGTCGGGATTGCTTTCGGAAACCCCCACAGTTGTTAATATATTATTATTATTATAGCCCTTTTAATTAGCCAGTGCTTGCTGGGCTGCTGTTTGGTCGACGTGACTATTTTAGTTAATTGTTGTTTTGTGAAATACCTTTAGAACAAAGGGACAAATTAACTTTTTATCTCTTCATTTTTCAATTTCTGTTTTCCCATTTTGTCTGTCTCCGTCTCCGTCTCTGTCTCTCTGTCTCTGTCTGTCTGTCTGTCCGTCTGTCTGTCTGTCTGTCTGTGTGTCTGTCTGTCTGTCTGTCTGTCTGTCTGTCTGTCTGTCTGTCTTTCTCTCTCTCTCTCTCTCTCTCTCTCTCTCTCTCTCTCTCTCACACTCACACACACACACACTCACACATTAACACCCCCCTCCACACACGCACACACACACACACACACACACACACAAACACAAACACACACACACACACGCACATTCACACACACATACGCATACACACACATACACACACACGCACACACAATATCCACATCCACATTTGCAATAGAAAAAAAAAACTTTGCTTACGAAAAATTATGTAACATACAATTCCGTAGTTTCGAAGTCACTTTCCACGTTATTATATTAATGTTTCAATGATGATGCGACATTAAAATTGTATGTGTAAAGGTATACAGTAATGATCCTTGAGATCTTTAAAAAGTTGAATGAATTTTAAACGTAGTTATCTCCAACATGCTACATGGCATATTTTTTATTTGCTTGTTTGTTTGTTATGATGGGGTTTTATTGAATGCTTATCAAACATGGGAAGGGGAGAAGTTACTGTAATAACTCACAAGTCGTGACGTAAAAACAAGGGGACACATTTCAAAATTAAATGTACGTGCACCGATCCTATGATATGGCAAAATGATTGCAAATTTTCTTCCTCAGATTCTGTTACTGAATCTCAATCTAGGAGACACCCTGCTCGGCTTCTTTTTCTGGCTCAGCAATTTCCTGGGGTACACCGAATATGGCGCGGAGGACACCGGACTCTGCTATTTCCGGGTCATCAGCGTTATTTATCTGATGCTTGTCGTACTGTCAGTGGCAACCTGTATCAGTCTGGAGCGTTTTCTCTCACTCTACAGGCCCTTCGACTACGCCAGGCTGAGCAGCAACAGAAATCTTATCCTCGTCACCGTTGTGATCTGGCTGCTACCGGCAGTCATTATAATTTCTGCTTTCTCCGGAGAGGAAATCGACGTGAGCATATGTCACGTGATTTCACGAAGGACTTTTATCACCCTTGCCACAGCAAGAGGGGTTCAGATTGTTGTAATCTGTGCATCTCAGCTCATGGTGTTTCGTTTGGCCAAAGCTCAAGTCACCAAGATTGGCCAGCAGGTCACGTGGACGGAGAAAAAGGCAACAATGTCTCGTCTCAACCAGAAGCTGACGTTTGCCACCCAGGTTGCAATCATCCCTTACTTGATCATGTGTGTGCCCCATATCTGCTTGACCATCTCTATGGCAGTTGGCCCCTCCCGGGTGTACGACTCAGACTGGCACAAAGCTATGTCTGCGGCCTGGTTCATCTGCGTCATACACGGCCTGATTCACCCCTTGACCTACTGCTGGGCGTTGAAGAGCATCAGGAGACAAGCGTTCAGAGGCTGTAGGCGCTGCTGTGGCGACGACGCGGTGGACGAAGACAGTGCGACCGCCACCGACTACGTACCTCCGACACAGACACAGACGCTAACGACCATCGCTTGACAAACCACTGATTAACTAGTTTAACCAATTTGTTTTTGTGTGAGTTTAACGGCACATGCTGCAAAAATATACTCAAAGGCAAAAGAAACGAGAATAAGTAAAGTATGAACAAAACACGCTGACACTGGGTCACTAGGAGGCGTTCCTGAGCTGCAATTGATATTGTTTTTTTGGCTCGGGGGAAATCATTGGTCACGCTGGTGGCTCGAAACTGGTTCTGTAGTCTGAAGATGGTGGAGATATGCACACCTGTAACAGTTGACACTCATTAAGCCGTCTCGCCAGCTAATAGTCGCCCAAAAGCCCCCCTCTTGGTTTTCTGATGAAAGTCTCGGCATCTTGAATTTGCTTTCGTTTTCAACTGAATTCCATATTTCGAGGCTTCAGACATAAAGGCTAGATCTAGGCCTGCATGACTTCATGAACACAAACTCCACTACTCAAAAGATGTGACAAGTAAATATCCGTGCTCTGTGATGTCTGTATAGTTTTTCTGTGTGCAATAGCAACCAATCAGGACATTGCATTGTTCGAATGAGGTCAATTTAGCAGGTTCAGACTTCAATGGAACACGCAAACAATACTCACCATTTGAAGCTTTGGCTAACACGTTAACGACGATGAACATATTTCTTTTCGATTGTTTTCTTGAGTATAGTTTTAGTTGCAGATCAATTGGGTCATAATATTATACAGATTGCTATTACTTTTCAATTCTTTCTTCCAGTCACTCTTTCTTCCAAAATATCAAATGAAATCAATCGATTGACAAAGCGCGCATCGGAATATCAAACAGATGACATTTAGTTAAAGAGACACATAGGACAAACTACTCTTTACAATTTCATTATTTAGGGCACTGCGAATAGATCACTCTTTCTTTTTACAACTGTTATGCTACTAAGGTGTTAGATCAAAACATCTTGGCCAGAAGATCAAGTTTCTATATTGCAAGGGTTCTGGCCATGCAGTGAGACCGTGTGCATCTCTCTTCTTTTGTTTGTTTTAGTAAGGTTTTACGGCGCTCGCAACTTCATAAGGTCATAATATGAGCGTTAAGGGGTGGGTGTTAACAGAAAAGTCCAAACGGGGAACCAGGTTTATTCTGCTCAGCTCTCTAGCCTCAACATCATAATTTAAGTCTGCTTCGACTATCAAGGCAACCCGTAAATAGCAGTTCACAAGAGAGTGACACACATACAAAAGAATTTTAAAAAATGACGATAATAAGGATGAGGAAAGAAAACGAAGCAGTTCCCCCTTTGTTGTTTCAGTATACTATGAGTATAACATTGATCAATCAGCCCATTTATAATTCTACTATGCATAAGAACATGTTAATATCCTCCCTATGGGAATGGCCTGAAGACACTTCAGTCAGTAGAACTTCCCAGGGGGGAAGTATCTCTCTTCGCTGACGATGCTAGCTGGCGTCTTTGAATGCTTTGATCTTCGGCGTAATGAAAAGACATTAGCAAGAACAGACTGATGTTATACTGCATGTAATATATTATGTATATGTCATACAACTTCATTCGTACTAATGCTCTGAGGTTACTGAGTACACATTGCTACAAATGAAACACACACATACACACACATACACACACATAGACATACACGAGCACACACACAGAGAGAGAGAGAGAGAGAGAGAGAGAGAGAGAGAGAGAGAGAGAGAGAGAAAGAGAGAGAGAATGTGTACGAGTGGAGGTATTTCAAAATTGTATGCATGCATTTATTATGCTCTTTCTTGCTGTGTGTATGCGAGAGTGCACACGCACTTTGTAACACCACTACTGTTGCAAACGACCTAAAACAAATAATTAATTCTCTTTGCGAGACGAATAAAATATTGTCAATGTTTGTGTCATATGAAAGGAAAGACCCCTAGTTCAGAATTACTCATCAAACATCAGACGACACACTACTGAGCCATGTCGCATGTCCAATCTAAAGATGACAATTACGTTTTTGCTCCGGAAACAGTCTCAGAATGCAATACTTGACATCGAAAATGGTCTCAATACATTATTATGTGGCTAATGGGGATGGTGGTGGGGAGGAGAGCTACAGCTGAAGGTTGTCTCGCTTATTTGAGGATCAAATTTCTACACATCTCACATTTAACAAACGCAGTGTGAATTCTTCAAATACCAGAAAATCAGGGGGGAAAGTTACATTTCAATCGAGAAGACGGCCATTTTGAATTTTGTTGATGTATATCTTTATACAATTTTGTTTTGGTAAGGGTTTTACGACGCTCGCAAATGCATACGGTCACATGATCGCGCGGGATACATTAACATTTTCAGCTTTTGATAGGAATTTTGAATTTTGCCTTGGTGGCGGCCCAAGCCTACTCTTATCGATTTTAGGACCACCAAGGTATCTTTAACATGCGCAGCGTGCACACGGAGCCTTTATAAGTTAATAGCTCTTTTAATTACAAAAGAAATAGGGTTTTTAAAATTTTGCATTCACGTTAGGAAACAATAGCGCTATAAAATTGTTTGTTCAGTTCTGCCGTGTACTAATTAGAAACTTGTGAATTACTCTTGGGGGGATAGTATTCAAGGCTGGAAAAAAAAAGAAAGAAATTGTTGAAAGCTTACTCAAGACACCAGAAATAGAAGTCTATTCTATAAAGTGTTTTTTATTGAATGGTTTTATAGTGTTACATCCTGTCCTAATTCTGTGAAGATTTCATGAAGATAGGAAGGTACATGGCAGAGGTATTTTGGAAAAGAAACATATCATAGAGAAAAAAACTCAGGCTTTTGAGAAAACGGACTATAAAGGGAAAATAGGCACTGTAGGAGGATAGTGACGACTACCTGGTAAAGTGCCTGATATGTGACAAAATAAGAAGGGGGGGGGAGGGTCTTAATATGGTGAAATATCTAAAGTGAGGCTGACGAAGTCAGAATTGCCTACGTGCCGCAATCAATAATTTTGACCCAAATTAGTGCTTTCAGCTGTCCCGCTCCTCGCGTAAAAATCAAGAAAACACACTTTCTTTCAATGTTTGGGCAATTTTTATTAACGATATTTTCTTTTTTATGTATGCGTGAAGGAGGATCGGGGCTTTTCATGTATACTTAAAAGGGGGGGGGGGGGGGGCTACATCCCCAAGGTCAAGATTTGGCTCGGAATTATGGAATTTAAGTTTTAGGCATTTTTAGTTTCCTCAGCCTCTCCTACAACTATTTCATTCTTATAAGAATTCCGAAAAAAGGTATTTTTTTCCCATACCGGGTATGTTTGTTACCACCATTTCCTCATAAATTAAATATTTTATTTTTGTTTATGGGCCGTTTTCTCAAAACTAGACTTTCCTCTATACTTTTTTGAATAACTCCGCCATTTTTCATCCAATAGTCACGAAATTTTCACAGAACGAAGAGAAGATGTGACACTAGAAATTCATTCGTTGACATTTTGATATATTGAATAGAGTTTTGTTGGTGGTGTCTGGATTGTGGATTTTCACGGATTTTTTGCAAACTTGAATCTGGAAAAATTTCATTTATAAATTTCTAATTCGTTTAGGGAAAAAAACAACAACATGCACATTTTTAGATCTAATGTTTGTTAATACACATGCACAAAAAAAAAATCAATTTCTATAAGCAATAAGTGCGGTATTCATTACGTAAGACAAGTGAGCAAAATATATGGCCGACGTATCCATGGAAACGAAACTTTTATCTCAAATTTGATTGCGGATTTTAAGACTCCTTACTATGCTTGTTATATGTGTGAAATTTGGTAAAATTTGGTCCTGTAATAAGTCGCTCGTATGACTTTATGCAGTTGCAAGCGCTGTAAAACCCTGTATTATATTTTTTAAAAATAAAAAATTCAGGTGTAGCCCC